AAAATTTTAAGCTCTCTTAGATTTATAACTTCTTCATTAAATATGTCTGCAAACAGCAGCCCATAAAAACCTGTAGCAATTAAGTGGTTAAATGAACTGCCTCCCTTGTCAATTTTAAGGGGGTGATTAATATTAGATGGTCCCTCTGCTAATGAGACTCTCCCCCTTTCAGCTTTCAAGTCCTACAAAAATGGAGACTGGTTGTTCCACCAGCAAGAGAGGTAGGCTAATGAGAGAACTCCTCGCCACAGCTCCACGTGCCCCACCAAGGGTTCTGGGTGAGCTGGTTCACATGGAGCCTGGAGGACTGGTTTCCCAGCTGCGCATGCCCTTTCATGACAGGGATGCACTGCTTCTGATTTAAAAGGTTTGTGTGGGATGTGCCTTCAAGCCCTGCCTCTTGGCCCATGAGACCTGGGATGGAGAGGGCAGTGAGGTTGATCTAGTTGGGGTGGAGGCTCATGGCAGCATAGGTAGGTGGAGGCAAACGGGATGCAGGCAGCCACGGCAGGGATGGTTTTTGAGGAGGTGGCTGGAAAGAGAGTGTGGGGCACGCCCACCCTGGCTGCGACAGGGAATCCATCAGATGGAGAAATGGGCAACTGCTTACAAGGGAAATAAAGAGCCGCGGAGACGGGAATATTTATATGCCCATCTACTCACTCATGGGAAGATGCTTCATCATGGACCGCTGTGGAATTGCATTTTTCCTCGTTCTTCAACAGAGCAGCTTTTGCTGGGGCAGGGGCGGGGGGAAGTGTGGCTTTGTGAAGACAGTAGCCCCATACCACCCTCCCACAGAGGCAAGAAAACAAGAGGAAGCCATTCTGGAACAGGCCAGCAAACCTTGTGTGACCCCTTGGTCACCTCCCATGGGAAGGGGAGGCAGCAAAATTCAGCCTATTGCCTTGACCTAACTAACAGGAACCCTGCTGAGGCCTCTGCGAAGATGGGCAGAGAGGAGCGTGTGCCAGCCTTCCAGGCTGAGTTACTGTATTAATCACGGCTTCATTCATTTCTACCACCCACATCTCAGTGTGTGCCTGAATGGTGAGGCTTTTGTCTTCAGTGACTCCTCCCCCGCCACAATGCAGCTTGATGGCATGTATTTTGACTCTAACTTTTAAATAGCACCTTTCTTAAGTGTCTTCCTATAATCTAAGGGCTGTGCATGCCGGGAAGCTCTGGGAGCATGACAGCTGAGGCACACGAAGGTCTCTGCCAGCTGTGAGGCGCCCAGTAGGGACACCATGCTATGGGGTTGGTCCATGAGGCCTGTGCTCCAGCTGGGGTTGGAGAGGCAAAGGAACTTGTCTGAGGTCTGAGCATGGTGGTGAATAACCCTATCAACTCTGGAGGCAGAAGCAGGCAGATCTCTGTGAGTTCAATACCAGCCAGAGTTACATACTGAGACCCTGTCACAAACAAACAAACAAACCCCCAACCCCAACTATGGGTAGATTTAGCATCTGACACAGACAGACTGGGGACCTGCCCACCATACCATATCACATCTACTAACACATGGCACTCGATCACAGACTTGCACACTGCTCACCTGTGTCCTGCCTGTAAAACTATCCTGTCACCTGCACCATCTGAACATGGACACCAAGATTCCCAGTGTCCTGTCCATGACACCACGTCACCTCCAAGAGAGCATGCTCAGTGAGGTGGTCTGAATGAGAATGGCCACCACAGGCTCATGTATTTGAATGCTTGGTCCTCAGTTGGTGGGACAATTGGGGAAGGATCTGGAGGTGTGGCTTTGTTGGAGGAGGTATGTCACTGGGGTGGCCTTGGTTGTCCTGCTCTTTCTGCATGAACTCGTGAATCAGATGTGAGGTCTTAGCTTCTGCTCTAGTGCCTGCCTGCCTGCCACCATGCTTCCCGCCATGATGGTCATGGACTAGCTCTCAGAAACTGTAAGCCAGCCCCCAGTTAAATGCATTCTTCTGTAAGTTGACTTACTCATAGTCTCTCTTCACAGCAGTGGAACACTAACTAACACACTCAGCCTGATGGACAGACAGACTGGCCAGCTGTCTTGAGGGATGGGCACTACTTCTTCAAGCTGTGCCCTCTCAGGAGACGGGGCAGGGGTACACTTATTAGGCCACACTGAGTCCTCGTGTTTTCCCTGGACCCACCTGCTGACAGCTTAGTCACTCTCAGGGACTCTGCTGTCCACTGGACCTCAGCCCTGGTTTTTCTTGCAGGATGGCTGGGCACCGCTTCTGCCCACAGAGGAAGTGCTTCCCAGACACCTTGCTCCCACTCTGGGGAGGAGCTAGGGGCAGGGTCCTAGATGTTCAGGTCTAGCCTGTGCTCCAAACTCACAGATGGTTATCTAGGCCAGTGAGATGGCTCACTGGGGAGAGACCTGCCGCCAAGCCTGCTTACCCGAGTCCCATCTCCGGAACCCACACGATGGAAGGACAGAACAGATGGTGCAAGTTGTCTTCTAACCCCCACACTGGGCATCAGGCTGGAAAAAAAATTAAGCACCCTATTTTTTGTTTTGTTTTAGGGTGTGGTTTAACAAGTGTAAAGCACAGAATTGCCAGTGAGCAGAGCATGTTTCCAGCAGATCCTGGGCTCCTTCATAGGGGCAGCCGGGCCAGCAGGGAATGAAAAGCGAAACCAAATGTCCTGACCCGGATGGCACATGCCAGCTCCCGGGCCCCCACACCTGTTCTAAGGGACTCCCGAGCAGTTCCAGCACCTGCTTGCTCCAGGCCCAACACTGCATGCAGGCCATGGCGGAGGGCTCTTCAGGTTTCTACATCACAGAAGCAACTCTGAGTTCGGGTTAGGAGAGGCAACATCAAGCTGCTCCCAGGAAACTCACTGAGGCGGCTGCAGAGGACGGCACTGTCCTTGGGAGTGTGGGCAGTGACGCCCGAAACACCGTGACATGAAGCACATGGGTGGTGAGCGTAGGTGACTTTCAAGTCCTCAGTGGAAGACGCTGTGCCACCCCCACTCACGGTGGCCCTTGCTTCCACACCCCGTTTTCCCACCACTGACTGCCCCCACACCGTTCTGTGTCTTCCTCATGGCAACTTTAACATAATTCAGGAGCAAATGCAGGCCTGTCTTCGTACCGAGACTAACAGTGAGAAACAAAGCAAGATGGCACCCCTCAGCTCCTGACCAGGATGGGCGGACACTGCCTCCTGCCCCGGCCCCGGGAAAAGGGAGGGCAATAGTGACGGGCGGGGGCAATGGTTATGCTACCAGCTCTGCAGGTTCAGGCCCCGCTCCAAACCCCACAGTCTCAGCAGAGCATGGCTGGTATTTCCATTACTACCCCATCTGACAGAAAAGGAAACTGAGGCTCAGAAAAGTCAACTAGAAGAGTTGGGATCAAGCCCACAGACTCCTTCCAGAGCTGCCCCCAACACCCAGTGTTGTGTCTTGGGGGAAGCCACACCCCCAGCTCAGTGCTGAGGTAAAGAAAATACACATTAGAATATGCTTGGCCAGGTGCCAGCCCTTGGAGTAGAGGGAGAGCCAAGACCTCTGGTGTGAATATCACACCCCAGCCTGACAACAGGGTCTTATCTATTCACTGCACCCAGAACCCTGGTGGACTGGTCTCCTAAGACCCCACTGTCTCCACCAGGCTGGAGAGCCTCCTTCAAGGGACTTCCAGCCACAGGACAAGGCTAGGCCTCAGTCTTGCCTCATCCAAAGGAGGAAGGAGGTCACTTGGTCCCTTGGGCTGAGAACAAGAGAGCCCCAAATACGAGGACTGTGCCCACAGAGGTGCTTAAGGAAAAGATGCGGCGGTCAAGGCCCCCAGGCAAGGACAGGGGTGGTCAGGAGGGAGGAGGTGGGATGCCCCTTCCTGCAGCACCCCACCCCAGCACTGGGCACCCACTGCCAGCAGTGTTTCCACCTGCGCACACTGCACTGGCTGATCTCCTCTGAGACAGGCTCTCCCTTGCCCTCCAGAGACCAGGAGGTGGCCGGCCTGGGTCAGGCAGCCAGGCTACTCCAATTCGGTCTAGGTGACCTCAGTCTGTCTTGTCCCCCAGAGCAGCTGGAGCAGCCCACCCTCTCAAAGCCTCCCCTGGGTACCCACAGGCTCCATCCCACCTGGAGGCCCACCCTATGCTGGTTCACAAGCAGCCGGACTGCAGAACCATTTTAAGGGCAGATGTGAAATTCTACACACATCTAGATTTCTAGCATTGTGGCCAGCCATTTCTCCTGTCGCCAGCCAGCAAGCAAATAAGACTACAGGTGACAGTCATGTTTTTAGGATTTACTGAGAATCTAAGACAAAGGGGGAGTTTTTCCTCTTGTTTTTGCTTTGACAGGTTTAGGAATTTGTTGTACTGCATTGATTCAATTTTCCTTGATTCCAGCCATCTTTCAATAATGCAGCCTGCTTCTGCTGGCTGGGTACACACAAGAAAACCCCAAGGAACCAAGGATATTGAAATGGTTCTGCCATTTCCATCTGTGAGACAAATGTTCCTCTCTGAGGAGCTCTGGTGGCAGCACGTGACCATGGCAGTCTTCTCTACACAGAGGATGTGCACACTGACGCTAGTCCGTGAACAGGGCAATGCTAGCATGCCTGGCCTCCCATAGAACCTCACTGTTTCAGGCCTGTCTCCTTGGAACTTTCCTTTGGACCCTGATCCTGGTGTTTCTTATGATGTCCAGACGCCATCCATCCATCCAGCGGTGTGTGTGTGTGTGTGTGTGTGTGTGTGTGTGTGTGTGTGTGTGTGTGTGTCTAAGTATGAGGGGCCTAGGATACTCCTCTGGATCAAGCGGGTTGACCAAACGTGAGACGGTCCTGGTGGCAAATGACGGGAGAGAGAACAAGGCACTGGTCACAGTCTATGGCAAAGTGCATTCAAAGTGACTCACTGGTTTTTCCCTCAGAAGGACTCTTACATCCACCTTTTCTAGAACAGAGCCCTGATAGAGGGACAGGGACTCCAGAGGAGTGAGCAGTGTCGCAAGCCCAGCGTACTTACCTCCTTTTCAATTTCTGCCAGGGACTTGATGGTGATACCCAAGAGATCAAAAGGCTGCATCTGAAAACACAGACCAAGTCACCCTTCGATGGCTGGAGAATGCCCCCTTGCTCTTATGACAACTGTGATGTTCAAGCTGCCCTAGTTCCCCGTCCCCCGCCCTCCCCCCACACAAGGAACAGGTGTTGTGACGCTCAGTCATTGCGGGTCCAGGAAGAAATCACAAAGCACATGGTGGGCTGAGCCTTCTGTACCACAAGACTACTTTGTCACACAGTCACAGCACTAGAGGGTATCGGGGGATTGGGGTGGGGGTCATGGCCTCCTGGAAGCTGTGCCTATGGTCAATCAGCTTATCCTATTCCCTGATACCAAAGGAGAAAGTGAGTGAGATTTAAGCTTCTGTGATGGGATATGGGGCTGGAAGTGTCTGGAGCAGTCTAGACACACTGCCCGCTGTCTCCAGAGTGGTGGAGGGCCTAAGGGCCTGCAGTGTCTAGGGAAGGCTCTGGTGGATTCCAGGTCTTTGTCAATAACAGGAGAGGGAAATAACTATCCATCAGCTAATGGTTTGCAAGGTCAAGGGTGGCGAAAGTGATAATGTTGCACATTAATGGGGGTTCTGCAGTTCTGTGGACAGTGAGACATTTCTTGCAAATACACAGGTTAAGAGAATCAGCTGCAGGTGACTGGCCTGGACCGGTGAGCTTCCCTGTCTGTGAGGCTGCCAGTGCAGAATCTTTCCAGGTACACTTGTTCTGTGTTTTCACGGAGCAGCAGCAGACCAGCCTCCTGCAGCCTAGCTGGCAGGTAGCACCAGAGGTCCCTACAGAACCCAGGACTAGGAGCCCTGCCCTGGGTTGGGAGCTAGCGCTGCCCTGGGCTCCAGGGATGTCCTGCATGGCAGGTGGCCAGAGGCTGGCTCCCAAGTCCAAGGCTTTGGATTCCAAACTGGCTGCCTTGTGCTGCAGGATGGGTTAATCTTCTCTATTCACTTATTCAGCATATTTTTAGAGTGTGAGTGTGGACACACACATGCGGAGGTCAGAGGGCAATTTTCAGGAGTTGGCTCTCTTTCTGCCTTGCCGAAGCAGGTTTCTCTCATTTCTGCTCTCGGCCAGCTGGCTCACGACTCCCATCTCTTCGGGGTACTAGGATCACACATGCATGCCACTGTATCGGGCTTTTTTATGTGGGTTCCTGGGTTCGAAGTCCAGTGACTGGGCTTTTGCCGCAAGCCCTTTCACCTGCCAAGGCATCTGGATGCCCCTCATATTTACTTTAAAAGCCCGTTAAAGTGGCACAGTGGGCCCTTCTGGTCTGGCTGCAGGGGGAAGGGCTGAGCACTGGGCTTGGCCTGCATCTGTGGCCTTGAGTCTTTGCTGAATTGGCAGTAGCACATTGTGAGGGCAAACTTGGGATAGGGCCACCGAATTAGACCCTGAGCTCCTGGGGCTGCTTTACCAGTAGCCACAAAACAGTTTGGCTAGGGTGAAGATGCCAGCCTTCATGGTGTGAGGGTGGGGCTGCCTGCCCGCCTGGCCCAGGAGCCAGCAGAGGTCCAGCTGTTGCATCATTAGCTCTAACTATTCCACTAAACTTTCCCAACTGGAGCTGGTGAGCAGGGCAGAACTGCCTCTCCCAGGGAGCATGCGGGAGAGGTGCCAGTGTCTCCATGGCAACGCAGCCAAGTGGAATCTGCGGAAGTTCCTTAGACTCCCCATGTCACGTCAGGAGCATTTTTCACGATTAAGCTGCTTACCAGAAGGGCTCAGAGGAGGCCTATTATATTTCATAAAAATGGAAACGACAGAGCAGGTCGGATCGCCAGCTGGGTGGTTTTAAACTGGGTCCAAGAGAAACACTGTGGGGTCTTCGCTGGGCCAAACTAGGGCCTTGGTGTTTAGTGATGCCTCAAAGCAATCTTCTACAGGAAGGATAAAAGCCAGAAACAACTTTACTGACCCAGCATGGCCCGGGCCTGCACAGCTGAGAGGGTGAAGGCTGTCCTGAGGACCAGGCACCATCCACCAGGAGGGCATGGAACCCAGTGCAGGGCCCTGGCTCTGGCAGGCACCTCGTGTGGTCTGGATACTGGCCTCTGCCCTTGGCTGGCTCACCTAGCTCCTCTGTCATTCAAGAAGGCTCAGGGTGAGACCACAGCCAGAGGCCCTTGACACTCCGTGCCACAGCAGAGCATGCGGCACACACAGAATGCAGTGATGACAGCGAGGAACTGGGCCAACTCCATCACTATGAAGGAAAAACTAAGAGCACGTGTGTGAACCAGCAGAGGAGGAGGAGGAGGCGGCGGGCGGATCTGAGTTTGATGACAGCCTAATCTATGTAGTGAGTTCCAGGCCAGTCAGTGCTGTATGTCTCAAAAATAAAATCATTAAGTCTGGTTGTGGTGGTGCATGTTTTAATCTTAGCACTCAGGAGACAGAGGCAGGTGGATCTCTGTAAGTGCAAGGCCAGCTTGGTGTAGAGAGCTAGTTCGAGGCCAGCCAGGGCTACACGGTGAGAGTCAGTCTCAAACGAACTGCTAGACTGACTAAGCTCAACTCAGGAAACACTTTGCAACTGTCCAACGAGGCTCAAATGCCAAAGTGTGGCCGTATGCACTCATCTGCTAGTGTCTCGAGAAGCTTGTACCCTACCTGCTCTTTCCTTCTACTTCTCAAGCATTTGCTAGGTGCAGGCCCCAGCTGGAGAGCCCAGAGATGAGCAGAACGCATCCCAGCTCTCAGAAGTTGTGCCTTCTGGTTTTAGGGTTCAGCATCCAGAATAAGAGAATCATCAGGCAGAAATGCTTCCACGGGCCCAGGGAGCTCCAGGGTGCAGGAGCAGCTCATGCGCACAGAACTTGAGGGACTTCAGGTTAAGGTGGGAGATGGGGAGGGGATCATGCATTAAACTTACACTTTCTGGGATGCAGGAAAACTTCTCTGAAATCATGAAAGGCACACCATCCATTGCTGTAAGAGGAAAGAAGAGAAAGGCATTGAGGACACCATTGCTGTCCAGGAAGCTAAACTGTCAGTCCAGAGAGAACCGACCAGTCCCTGGCTGGAGGCAGGTGCTGCCCAGTTCAAGTGAGTGGGACAGGGTGCCCTCCATTCCCAGGGACCACATACCCAGGGATGCAGACGCCTTGTGTGGATCCTCTGAGTGCAGTTAGTCATGCAGAGAGGGTGGGGGAGTAGCACGGGGCTGGTCTGGAAGCCCTCTCCCAACCTTACCCAGGAGTCTGACTTATGTCCTAAGTGGTGGGAGCCACTAAGGGCCTGACAGCAGGAAGAAAGTGACGTGTGGCTAGGAGGGGACAGAAGTGCATTCTAGGAAGAAGCTGGCAGTAGCATGTCTATTGTACATGCTCTAGGCTGAGCCATCACCTCTCCTGGGTGGTGTTGGGTGCTCATCAGGGTCTCCATGAAAAGACAAGTTGTCTGGTAGTCAGAATGACTGAGCTGGAGTCCTGGCCTGGACTTGTGGTGAAGTCAGTCATGTGTAAAAGAAGTGTGGCTAACGGCTTCGAGGTGTGCTGTGGGTCTGCAGTGAAGTGTGCCCAGAACCTGCCAGGGCCGTGAAGAGTGGACTCAGTGTATGTGGCAAAGGGGAACATGTGCTCACGGTGACTGATTCCTTGTCAGAGCTTCAGGGCTGAGGCCGACAGGACACGAGGGGAGGAGTGTGGAATGAGCAGCCTGCGAAGGAGGAACTCAGTTCCTTTCTGTACCACATCTCCTGCAATCTAAGTGTGTCTACATCTTGCCACAGAGGAGCCTGTGATGCAGGGTCCTCACAGTGTGACCCATGGACTGCTGCTGACTGAGACACCAGTCTTGCAGAGACGGGATGGAGCTGAGGCAAAATTCAGCCTACACCTCTGGCCCTCAGCGTAGGGACCTGCAGGCTGCAGTGAGAGGGAGTTTGTGGCAGATAGTGGTTGTAGAATGGACATTGTACGCCACCATTTCCTAAAATGAAGGCTTCCTTGGTACTCAAATGCTGAGCCCAACTTCTAGGGCTAGGGCAGAAGAGAGGCAGGAGTGGAGAGGAGAGTCAGGAGGAAGGCGCAGCTGTGCCCTGCAGTGTGTGTTAAGCTGTGTCCCCAATACTGCAGGGAGGGAGGGAACAAAGGACAGGGCTGGCCTGCACCGGAGCCCCTCTGCAGGGCCACCTCCTGTGTGCTTTCCAGGCTCTACAAAGGCCTGCAGCAGGGACCGTCTCCCACTGCAGCTGGGCCCCACAACCCAGAAGAGGCGAGGATGGGAAGAGCGGCGTGATGTATCCGACACTAGCCCAGGGAGGAGGGACAATCCCAGATAATGTCGGAGACCACATGCAAACACCCTGTATGACCTAAAAACCTATCACAGCAGACAGCACCACAAATGAAGGATCCCTGGAAAGCCACAAGCTTGCCAGAGAGGGATGGAGGTCCCATCAACACCCAGAAAGGCCTCCCATGGCTCCTGCCACTGGCCACCCAATGTGAACTCTAAGCTTCCATTTACCCCGCACAGCTCTTGTGTGTTTTAACCTCAAATGCTTGCTGGGTCCAGGGCCCTCATATCACTTCTGATCATTTTGAGATGATGAAACAGAGGGTCCAGAGGGAGAGCCCACCAAGGTCATATAGGCAGGAAGCAGTAACCTGGAAGCCCTGACTTAGGACAACTGGACACAGATGACAATTGACACAGGCACTGTGCAGGGACTAATGACACTTCCCCTCAGCCACTTCTACAGTGAAGTCCTTACCGGGAGCCTTATGGGAGCTCTGGGGCCTACCAGACGACAGGGGGCAGTGTTTCACACTGTGAGAAACATGAGGCTGCTTGATGGTGGCCACCAGGATGGTGGTGGCAGGTCCACTCCTGCCTGGACGGGCAACAGAGATGGAAGCCCCTGTGCCCAGTCCTGACGGAAAGAAGCCATTTGGTAAAGTGACTGAGGTCACATTTGGTAAAGGGGACTCACAACAGGAGGCTGGGCAGTCAGACACTCCTCTCATTCACTAGAAAACAGATCTTAGCCTATCTGCCCAGCAGGGCAGCGCTCAAGAGAAACCGCCTAGATAGGGCTCCCAGTGCACAGGACACACAGAAGCAGATGTGACCTCCAGGCCATACTTACTGGCCAAATTGCATTAAAAAAAATCTAGTGTGTGTGTGGTTGGGTGCAAGGCACTGGAGAGATGGTCCAGTGGCTAAAATCTTTCAGAGGATACTGGTTTTCATTCCCAGCACCCACATGGCAGCTCACAAGCATCTGTAACTCCAGTTCCAGAGGATCTGACACCCTCCTCTGGCCTCCATGAGCACTGTATGTGGTGCCCAGACAGGCATGCAGGCCAACATTCACACACATAAAATAAATACGTCTTAAAAAAATCTGGTAGGGGCTGGGTGAGACGCTCAGCGGGTAAAGGAGCATGCTGCGCAAATTCAACACGTTGAGTTTGAGCCCTGGAATCACAGAAAGGTAGAATGACGGAAATAACACCACAAAGTTGTCATCTGGCTTCCACAGTGGCATCCACCTCCCCCTTCCATAGGACACAGCCTGCACTGGAGAGGCAGGTTAACCAACTGCTCTGCAGGGGTCAGGACATCACCTGTTATCTAAGAAGAAACACGGGATAGAAACCTAGTAGGAATGCTTGTTAACTGGCCAGCAGTGAAATCTGATGAAGGGCGCAGAATATTGACATCTGGGCTACGTCAGAGCATGGAATTTCCCAGGGTCAATGTAACACCTTGTAGTCTAGGTCCAGCTGTACTGGATGAATGGGAGACATGCACAGTAACAAAAGGGGAAACGGTTTAGTGCTGGTTGGACACATCAATGTGATTTGATTATGAACATGGAAGGTGCCATCTGCAAAGCCACAGTGCCACAGCATGGCCACAGGATCCAGGTGCCACTTGGTCTGCTTTGAGCTTGTATAATATTCTCGAATGATCATCCTGAGAGCCATGAAAACAGGGAGGACATTGTAGGGCCCTAAGCTAACTCCACGCGGAAATGGAGAGGCAGACTCAGGCCTGTTGCCCCAGAGAGGTGGGACTCTGCCCAGCACCCAGCACTGCATTTGACACATGGGGAGAGGCAGAGTGGGCTTGTGTCTGGAGAAGAGAAGGCTCGAGGTGGGCTAAGAAGCCACAGCTGCGGGGAGGGGGGCGGGCCGGACCAATCATGGTTCAGGGGGCCTCACTTTCCTCTTGGAAGATGTACTGCACAGAGCAAACAGGGGGAGCAAGTGATACTTGCTGGGCCGGAGCAGGGTCTGTGTGTTGCAGAGTTTAGCTGTAGGAGGAAAGGCCCCTTCTGATTCAAAAGCATCCATTCCTAGGAGTCTTATCTGGACAGCCTTCCATATTTGAAAATATTCAGAGGTTTGGCAAACAAAATCCCTAAAAATGATGGCAAGCATTTTTCACGTGGTCCCCAAGATTGCTCATAAACCATCTCTGTCCTCCTTCTGATGGGGAGCCCTGTTCCCCTCCTTCCTCTCTCCTTCCCCAGCCAGGGCTGGTATGTTTTCATCACGACTGTTCTAGAGCGGAAGCATGGACTGCTGTCTTAGTTACTGGTCTCTCACTGACCCTAGTCAGGGCCACACACGGCTGTGACTTGGTTCACAGGGTCACTGTGCTCTGCCAGCCAGCAAGAGTTAGGGCAGGGCTTCTCCCTGATCCTGCCTGACTTGTGTGCATGGTCATGTTGCAGAATCAGGTACTGGTCCTTTCTCTGGGTAGGGTTCCCAGGGTGACATTACAAAGGCTCCTCCAAGCCTTGGAGGTAATGAGAGAAGAAAGGTAGAGGACCCGTGGTCCCTCCAAGGTTTCTTCCACAGAGGAGAAGCCAGGAACCAGGTGCCTTCCCTTGCACAAGGTGGTGAACCTTCAACCTTCCTACCTGCAGCCTCTTCACCCAAGTCAGGCACTCAAGAGTTTCAGGGCTGTGACAGAGCTAGGGTTCAGGTCCACAGCCTGGCCTGTGGTAGAAGGATGGGCTGGTGGCTGTGTCCACACTGGGCCACCACACTTTTGAGCCTGTCTATAAAATGGGCCTACACTACAGTAGCTCAGGAGCAGACTCCTTACATCAACGGACACATTTGACGACAGCAGCCAGGGGTCTGCTGTGGGGACAGCATCCCGGCACTGTGGCTCCCGATATCTGACTAGAGCTGTGTCCCTTTAGTGTCAGGCCACTGCTTTCTTCTTTTTACTTAAAAAAGAAAATTGGTGGCAGTTTTAACAAATGCCGATCCATGGATGGAACAACAAGGAGCAGATGAAAGCGAGGATGTGCCGTGGGCTCCGTAGCGCAATTAGCATTCTCCTAAACAAACGAGCTGCAACAGAGCTGTAATTAAGCAGGCCTGTAATTAAGTATATGCCCTTTATCATAACGATCATGCTTAAAAATGGCACGAAGCACGGAACTGTGTTATTAATGCTGTAATCCCAGACTGAAGAGCAAGTACATAGAAATCTGCATGTCAGGCCTGTCACCGAGAGTGTTTGTAAAATACATTAAAGAAAGAGGCCCCCAAACAATGAGCTCGTTCAACTGTTCTTTTTACAACCAGGCAGCACAAGTCAAGAGGACTGTGAATGCTTACTGATCCTGAGGTTTAAACAAATAAAGCTGTACTCTGCTGCACGCCTCACCCCCGCTGCAGAGAGGGGCGTCTAGAGCTGTGTTCTCTTCTTCGGCTGACCCACACCCTGTCTTTGCTGCTCTCAGGGAAGCTGCCCAATTTGCATGCTGCATCTGGTTGGACATCAAATTGGATTTCTGCTCCCACAGATAACTCTATGAACCTGTAGGAAGTCTGCCTGGCAAATGGGCTCCCCATCATAGCTCCTGCCTCCTCCCTTTGTGTGGAAACTATCATTTTACTTCCCAAAGCCATCCCTAGAGCTCGCCTTTGATCCCCCATCTTGACACATGCTTCAGG